TTTTGATTGGTCAAACACTTTTGGTACTTGTGCATATAAGCTTGCAAATATGGATCATTTTTCATTCCTGATGATGACATAATTAATGTCGAAATATTGAATCCCGTGCATTTCGATACTTGGAGTATGTATTATACTATTTTAAGTGAACAATACATTGCATATCTAATTAGCTGATTATATAGAAATTGTTAAAGGAAGAGTTTTATATTTGTTTATGCATAAACAAATATAAACTATGGTTATGAATAAACTAAAGATCAAAGCTTTCATACCCTACTGATCAGAGCTACCTACAAGAACAAAGAAAGCTCCTTAGAAGCTTTCAGTCCATTGTTCAGCAATGGGTGTAGCCTACGTATAGCAAACGCCTCTTTGTTCTTCGGTATTTAATAGGCCTAATTGTTAAGCCAAGTTGTTTTTGTTTAATTCTAATTTTGTTTTCATTGATACTTTTGTTAAGCTTTGTGTAAATTGATTGTGCTTTCTTTAACACAAGCAATTTTTTTTCCTACTGTATTTAGTAGGCCTGTTTTTGTTTTTGTTTAATCATGTGTTTAGTCGTAGATACTTTTGTTAATTAGCCTTGTCTGAATTGATTATATTTCTTTAATAAGAGGAGAGCAATTTGTTCTCTTAGTTTAAGATTGACTGCACCACTTAATTGTGTGTTGCCACTGTTATAAAAGTGAAATGTCGAATAAATTATTATTATTATTATTATAGACCAAATTTTGCGAACTGTCAATAATGTTAGTATTAGAAAATATTAGATCTAATTTATTACTTACATTACAGGCTACATTATCATTTTCAAGTATACCTTGTAAACCAAAAACATATTTGAATGCCTCACAATTTTGTATATGATCATTTATAACACTTTCAGATCGTGAAGAATGTTCTTTAAGTCTAGTTATTAAGCATCTATCTGTCTTACCATTATAATCACTATTACAACCTGGACATTAAAAATGATAAACAACAGAGCTTCTATATTCCTTAGGGGTTTGATCTTTAGTAGTTATAAAATGAGGAGACATTTTTGTACTGCAATAAAGTTATGAATTTTACCTCTTTAACTAAGTGTTTCTTTATTTTGCTTTAAGCATCTACTCAAAATGGATTCACCTGTCTTTCCTAGATAAGGCAATCTAACCCAAATCTTAATCAAGCTATCATCAGTAGGCCTATGTATACATTGATGTTCATTTAATTTATTGAGTACATGGTTAACAACTTTTAAAGGGTACCCATTCCATGACATAAATTTTTTAATGTTACAAAGTTCTGCTTGAAGTTTATCGGGAGTACACAGTTTGTGGTCTTGATACCTAATTATAGTATGCATGACCTTCTGTA